GCTTCAATTAAGGAGATACAAGTGTTCCACTATGTTCGCAAGAGGAAGGGGACAAGCAAAAGAGCATGAGTCAGGATAAGGAAAAATATGCAAATTCAACTTATAAAGTTGACTCCGATTCTACCAGTAGAGATTGCGATCGGACTCTCTACTAGTAGAGACTGCGATCGGAGTCTCTACTGGTAGAAATCCTGATCCTACTAGTAGAGATTGTAATCGTAGTCTCTACTGGTTGAATCGGAGATTCTACCAGTACATTTTCCAATTCAACTGGTAGAAACTCTGACACACACAATGAGCCGTGAGAGCATCTGCAAATGAACCAGCCATTACACTTGAGTGCACACACAACCGCTCTGACTGGGTTCGTATCCCGGCTGCTTCGTTTCTAGGGAAGTAAACCCAAGTACAAAATATTATTAAAATCTAAATATTACCTTTGCTCATCTGATACAAAGATTGGAAACGTGATCGATAAGTATCCTTGTTGAATGCTATCATGAAACTGGTGACGTGTTGATTTCGCCTGGCGAGCGGAAGCACGCCCCCAATCCCGTCATGTGACAACGAGAACACGTCACTTTATCCGAATCCTGAAGTCCGAGCGGAGTCCAGAGCAGGGAGGAGATGATCCATCGTAGGGAGGGCGTAAGACGCCATGAGGTAAGGTAAGTATTTAAATATCTAAAATATTTAGATTTTAATCGATTTTTAACTTACCTTACCTCATGGTAATGTACATTTTGATCCGACACATAAAGGTAGGAGGGTCAGACACCGGCGAAGACCAGCCAAAACTATCAGACCAAAACAGCACAACCGGGGACGTGGAAACTGTCTTGTTGTTGAACTGGAATCGTTGAAACAAGAACAGTAAACCACCGGTAGAACCCCTGATAAGGAAAACACAACACAAGAGAACGTGGGTTAACCGTAAAACTATCACTAAGATGATTAGACAAAAGAATAAGCACCTAGTGAGAAGAGGGCAGCGTCAGTTGCTGAGCTACCACGAACGGGCCAAAGGACTGAAGCCCCTGTACATCCTGGACTGCCAGATCCCGGAGATAATGGCTGGCGAAGACTGTGACAGACCTCCAAAAGCAACCTTCCATAATAGTGGGGACCGAGCAGTTTCTGTGCAGAGCCATGGTGGACGCTAAGGCCCAGATCTCGTGCAGGTTGTTGGCGGTTGGGTGAGGCAAACCAGCGGAGTCGTAAGCTGCGAGGATAGTCGAGCGAAGCCACAAAGGGATGGTATTTCTGTTGACCTCACCCTTCGACGCAGAAGAAAATGGAATAAAAAGGCGTTTCCTGGTACTCCTGACTGCTTGATGTACTCTTTAAGAGCCCTGACGGGACACAACGCAAGTTCATCGGAGTCATCACTGCCCACTATAGAAGACAAAGGAGGGATGACAAACTTAATATCCAGATGACCAGGCAACAGGTTCTTGGCAATGAAGCCCCAGAGAAGACCCAAAGGGAACAGAACCGTGACGAGTCTGTTCAAACCTAATCCTGGTGACATCTATGGCGTGAAGCTCACTAACTCTGGCCGCAGTAGCAAGTGCCAAAAGAAAAGTTGTTTTCCTGGACAAGTCCTCGAAGGAGGCCACAGACAAAGGCTCATAAGGACGTCCACGAAGGTGTTGTAAAACCACATTAAGATCCCAAGCTGGAGGGCGGAACTTCGACTTCTTTCAGCATGGCCAGTAATTCCAGGATCTTGGAGACCTTCCTATCAGACTTGACGGCCAGCACTGAATTAAGGGCTGCCAAATAAGTAGAAATCGTACCACCTTTCAGATGATGAGTGTTGCGTAGGTAGAGGAGGAATTCCGCAATAAATTGAGGAGAAGCTTTAACCGGATTCTTAGAGCGATCAGCGCAAAACTTCTCGAATGCAGACCATTTGTCATCGTACAAGCTGTGGTTGGACACTCTATGAGCACGGGCGATGATCGTAGCCACACCAGCCGAATAACCCATGGATTTCAGAGCTTTCTGAAGATGACCCAAGCGCATAGATGAAACCTGTCCGGATCTGGGTGCAACAGGCGGCTGTGAGGATGCTGTAGAAGGTGCGGCCACTGTGGTAGCGGTTGAGGATCTCCTTCGGCGAGTCGACGTAGTTTGGGAACCAGGTTCTCGCCGGCCACCAAGGCGCGACCATAGTCATCTGCTTGGTCTCCTTGAGCTTGGCTACGATTTTGGGAAGAAAAACTGAAGGAGGAAACGCGTAGGCGTCTAGACCCTCCCATGAGAGGGACAGGGCGTCCACTGCCCAAGCGACAGGATCCGGAAGAGGAGACACGTAGACCGAAGTTGATGGTTGTGCTTCGTTGCAAAGAGGTCCACTAACGGTCTGTGATGGAGGTGACAAACCAGATCGAATGCTTCCAGATGAAGCATCCACTCTGTTGGGGATGGCTTGTCTAGTCGGACAGAGCGTCTGCCAAGACGTTCCTGCAACCCGGAATGTGACGAGCTCTAATCTGGATGTTATTGTCGTCCAAAATGTGAAACAAATGAAACGTCTGATTCAAGAGAAGACCTGAGCTGGTTGGTCCCTGGCTGCGGATCAACCAGACCACTGTCAAGTTGTCCAATGCCACCAAGAGCTTGGAACCCCGTAGCGAATGAATCCAGTGCTGCCTGTGCGGTTGACCACAGCCCTGCCGCTGTCTGAGTCCAGGTGAGCGCCCCAACCCTGCAAAGAGGCGTCCACAAACAGTTCGCGGTCGTGTGTGAATTTGGTAAAAGAGACACCGCCGCAGACGTTCGACTCGATTGTCCACCACTGAAGAAAGGGATGAAGATGAAGGGGCAGCGGAAACCGCGACCTGAGGTCGTCTAAGAGGATGAAAGGCAAGAGGAACCGTTGAAGCCATTCCCTGAGTGTAAGCGGGTGTGACAAACCCAGCCGAGCAAGGATTCTTTGCCATCTGTCCGGTGGAACCCGCAGAAGGTCTTGATCTGTCAGGAACAAACCCGCTATGAAAATCAACTGTTGGGACAGCTCTAGGTGGGACTTCTCGAGGTTGACGATCCAACCGAGTTGGTGCAAAAGCTTTAGTGTAAAGTCCATCTGTCTGCGTAGCAGCCGGCACTCCTTGTGACTCATGAGAGAGTCGTCTATCCCCCGAAGATGAAGATACCGGGAAATCGGTGCTGTAATTCGAGTGAAAAGCCACGGGCCATAGAGATGCCAAACGGCATGGTGACCGTCGAAAATGAACCTCAGGAACTTCCGGTGAGGTTCGTAAATGGGAGCATGTAGGTATGCGTCTTGAAGATCCAGACTGGCCAACCAATCCTTGGGGGACAGTTTGGTTCGTAGCTGGATCAGAGATACCATCCGAAAATGTGGCGGCTCCGGAAGGTAAAGTTTGTTGAACACCGCCATATTGTGTATCATCCTCATCTTCTGAGAATTCTTTTTGGGTACTAAGAAGATGGGAGAGTTGCTGGGCTCTAGTACTTGTTCTATGGCCTTCTTGTCAAACAACGCCTGAATGTTAGTCAACAGGTGCTGGTGTTGAACGATGGAATATTCGTGAGACCAGGGCGAGGTGGTCAAAGCCGGCGACATGGCTACTGGCAACTTGTAGCCTGTCATGAGAACATTGGTGACAAAGGGGTCTCCTAGGATTGTCCAGTTGGGTCAGAAGACCCCGAGTCTCCCGCCTACAGGTATATTGCGGATATGGACGGCTGGGGGCGGGAGGTCGTGACCGCCCAAAACATCAGCGGTGCTTGAACTTGGGTTTGCTTGTCTTGCCCAAGTCCTTTTGGTTACCGGCGGGACGACGTTGGAAGTCGTTGGGACGTCCCCTGCCACGCCCTCTAAAGGCTCCACAAACCAACGTCCTCCTGGATTGGTAAAGGTTGGTGGTCCTGGTAGCTGGCGCTGACAAAGTGGCGAAGTGACGAAAAGATCGGAGCGCAATCTCAGTTTGGGTCAAGGAGGCATGCTCTGAAAATCTTCGTGAAAAACCTCTAAGAAGAAAAACACACAAAATATGACACAAAGAAAGAGAACAAGATACATACAATGGTCAAGCAAGGACAAAAACAACCCAGGCTGACCAAAGAGGAACCTAATTCTGCCGAAGCGAAGCTGGATAAACAACACGAGGCAAAACAAAGCAAAACAACACACAGCAAAGACCGTACAGTGAGAAAAAAAACAGCCAATGGTGAGTAGCTTTTCGTTATATCATGGTAGGAGGATACAATAGGAAAACCTTACCGTAGCAAATCACAAAGAAACAGTAAGAAAAGAAACAGAAATATCGTATACACGTCCAACTCGATTTGCGATAAAGGATAAAGTGACATGTTCTCGTTGTCACATGACGGGATTGGGGGCGTGCTTCTGCTCGCCGGACGAGATCGACACGTCACCAGTTTCATGATAGCATTCAACAAGGATACTTATCGATCACGTTTCCAATCTTTGTATCAGATGAGCAAAGGTAATATGCACATTACCATGAGGTAAGGTAAGTTAAAAATTTGCACTTTTGATTTGCGATTGTATGCTTATAATTTTGTTTATATGTTTTTTCATAATCAGCAATGTATATAATATGTCATGAATAAGTGATAATTGTGTTTTAATTATGTTTGATTTTTTGGTTGCATTTATAACTGGTACTTTTGTTTGTGAGTGAGTTTAGTTTTACGCCGCTTTTAGCAATATTCCAGCAATATCACGGCTTGGAACACCAGAAATGGGCTTCACACATTGTGCCCATGTGGGGAATCGAACCCAGTTCTTCGGGGTGACAAGCGAACAGTTTAACCACTAGGTTATCCCTCATGAGAGTTATGACCATTTACTTGCAGTTAGACTGTGTTTCAACAAACATTCCATATAGATTCATCCTTTGGAACATCCATGATCTCTTGAGTTTCTACAATGATCAACTGACTCATTATTCAATCAACGGGTCCAACACTACTACTTGCTATTACTGTAAGAGATCACTCACTTCCAAGACATGTACAAGTCTGCCTGTATGGGAGGCCCACACTTTTAGAGAATAATCACTGACAGCTGTCACAACATGCTCATCGTCCATCATCCACGCCACCATGGTCACACGGTACTTGTCCTTCTTACTGTCGTCAGTTGGAGGTGGATCTACACTGGCAGGGGCAGATTTGCTGGGAGATAAGCAACATAGAGAGGTGAATATTCACAAAATCCACTGATTCCTGTTATAAGCAATGATCCAGACCATCTAGATAAGATGACCAGATAGTAACTATGTCACTGATATCTGACATACAAATAATTTATCACCACTGTAGTGCAAAGAGCACAGGATGCTGTGACACTTTGTAATCCAAACTGGAATACTGGGCCCATCCAATATCTGTACTATTGTCTATAATTAAGGTCTAAATGGCAACCATCATATACATTCTAAAAAATGGCAAATGATCACCTATCATAGAGTTTTCAAACATTATGCTTCATTTTAAGTACACAATACCTTTCTGACTCCATCAACACTGAATACAAGGATACACAATACCTTACAGATTCCATCATCACTGAATACAAGGATACACAATACCTTTCTGACTCCATCAACACTGAATACAAGGATACACAATACCTTACAGATTCCATCATCACTGAATACAAGGATACACAATACCTTTCTGATTCCACAATCATCACTGAATACAAGGATACACAATACCTTTCTGATTCCACAATCATCACTGAATACAAGGATACACAATACCTTACAGATACCATCATCACTGAATACAAGGATACACAATACCTTTCTGATTCCACCATCATTACTGAATACAAGGATACACAATACCTTTCTGATTCCATCATCACTGAATACAAGGATACACAATACCTTACAGATTCCATCATCCCTGAATACAAGGATACACAATACCTTTCTGATTCCATCATCACCGAATACAAGGATACACAATACCTTTCTGATTCCATCATCACTGAATACAAGGATACACAATACCTTTCTGATTCCATCATCACTGATTACATCACTGAACCTTTCTGATACATCAATACCACAATCTGATTACATCATCACTGAATACAAGGATACACAATACCTTACAGATTCCATCATCACCAAATACAAGGATACACAATACCTTTCTGACTCCATCATCACCCAATACAAGGATACACAATACCTTACAGATTCCATCATCACTGAATACAAGGATACACAATACCTTTCTGATTCCATCATCACCAAATACAAGGATACACAATACCTTACATATTCCATCATCACTGAATACAAGGATACACAATACATTTCTGATTCCACAATCATCACTGAATAGAAGGATACACAATACCTTACAGATTCCATCATCACTGAATACAAGGATACACAATACCTTACAGATTCCATCATCACTGAATACAACGATACACAATACCTTACAGATTCCATCATCACTGAATACAAGGATACACAATACCTTACAGATTCCATCATCACTGAATACAAGGATACACAATACCTTTCTGATTCCACGCCTACATACAACTATGTCTTAAAATGTACAGAGACACCCGAGAGGCACCACATCTTACCCCGAACATGGACAATACAAATACCCCTATGGGAAGTATTGTATGAAAAAGATCTGTGTAATTGTGTGGTACTGACCTTGGCATCTTTGTAGCCATGTTAAGCACCAGAGCCTTCCACTCCTGTCTCTCATAGCGCCAGATCCTGGCAGTGCCATCCTTGCTGCCACTGACAAACCTCATCCCCTGGTTACTGTAGGTGATGCTATCCACTCGGTCCTGATGGAGGAGGATAACACAAAATACAAAACTTGTTCTGGTGACATTTATAGTGAGTCTTTTCGTAACTAACCAATAAGTCTTTATAAGTTGAAGAGAATAAATATGAGTAGCCCCAATATCTAATTGGGAATATACCCATGAAGGTCCAGGTTAGAATGTGCCTTCAGTAACCCATGCTTGTCGTAAGAGACTACTAACGGGATCTGGTGGTCAGGCTTGCTGACTTGGTTGACACATGTCATCAGTTCCCAATTGCGCAGATCGATGCTCATGCTGTTGATTACTGGATTGTCTGGTCCAGACTCGATTATTTACAGACCGCCGCCATATAGCTGGAATATTGCTGGGTGTGGCGTAAAATTACATTCACTCACTCACTAACTGAGAATACAGTTGCATGGAAATTTTTCAATGCACATTCTGTTTAAAGTGTAAGATGTTCATATTTCCACAATAACACACATGGATTTGTTCTGTTACAGAAAGCATCTGTAAATAATCAAGTCTGGACCAGACAATCCAGTGATCAGGGGCGGTGGGGTAGCCTAGTGGTTAAAGCGTTGGCTCGTCACGCCGAAGACCCTGGTTCGATTCCCCACATGGGCACAATGTGTTAAGCCCATTTCTGGTGTCCCCAGCCGTGATATTGCTGGAATATTGCTAAAAGCGGCGTAAAACTAAACTCAGTCAGTCAGTCAATCCAGTGATCAACAGCATAAGCATCAATCTATGCAATTGGGATACAATGACGTGTCAACCAAGTAAGCCTGACCACCCGATCCCGTTAGTCACCTCTTACGACAAACTTGTTACAATAAACACAGCAATATACAGAAGTACTTTTAGGAAGCTATATATACCAACCTTGTGTGCTTCAAGTTCACAGATCTTCTCTGGATTGGTGTTGTGGAAGAAGTAGACACGTATGACATTATCTGTGTTCCCCGTGGCCAGGAACAGGCCACCCGGGCTGAAGGACGAACACAGCATCTGGGCTCCTGCTCGAGAACGCTCAACAAACTTGATGGGCTTAGTGCTGTAAAAGAAATTCGTACAAATATGTAGATCTTTCTGATTCTTTGAAAATAGTCCTCCTTGGGGTACTTATAAGCATTGAAATATCCATTTTTAATTCCTACGACAGTTTAACTATATTCTTCCATAAAATATTTACAAAACAAAAAACTTGTTTTTGTCTTGTTGGGCCACCCCTATAGGGCCCCAACAGCCAAGAGCAGGTAACTGTAAGCGTGAACGTCGTACCTCACTTTTCATGCTGAACGTAAGCAGACAGAATGAGGGGAGGTGGGCAGCCATACCCGCAGGAGGACTCTTTCCAAAGAATCAGAAACCTCTACAGGTTTGTACGATTCTTTTCCAAAAGAGATCCTCCTTCGGGTACATATAAGTATAAGGAGTGAGTGAGTGAGTTTAGTTTAGGCGGTCTGTAAATAATCAAGTCTGGACCAGACAATCCAGTGATCAACAGCATGAGCATCGATCTGCGCAATTGGGAACCGATGACATGTGTCAACCAAGTCAGCAAACCTGACCACCCGATCCCGTTAGTCACCTCTTACGACAAGCATGGGTTACTGACATATAAGTATAAGACAGACTCCCAAAGATTGTGAGTCAGGAGTGGTATTCTGTCTGGCACAAAAAAAAACAACGATAAGCGGAATTCAATCTAATGGAGAGAGAGAAACACACTTACCCTGTAACCAGCAAAGGTAAGCCTATAACAAACTAACACTACTGGGAATACATTTGAGCCGAGACGGTCACCATCTTCAAGCCACATGGCTTGAAAATGAGAACCAGGTGGCAAAGTTACAACAAATTATGAATGGAAATTGAAGCGTACACATGCAACCTATCACCCGTGCGATAAAGGAATGTCCCATACATACAGAATTTGCTTGTTTCACACACATAGTAGTTGCTGAAGAATTCAATTCTTCGGAACACACGTATACGTGTTGTCACAAGAATGACAGCATGAAAAGTGAACTACGAGGTTCACGCTTAGAGTTACCTGCTCTTGGCTGTTGGTGCCCCCAGAAGCCCTGTAGGGGTGGCCCAACAAAACAAAAACGAGTTTTTTGTTTTGTAAATATTTTATTGAAAAATATAGTTACAACTGTCGTAGGAATATAAAACAGACATTTTAATGCTTTTATGTACCCCAAGGAGGATCTCTTTTGAAAAAGAATTGTTTGCAATGAAACTTCAGATGTGTGTCAGAAAATACTTATCTTTCAAGAAACATCTTCGCTATCAGTATTATCCATAACTACTTACACATCCATAACTTCACTAAGGAGAGGTAATCGATCAGTCGTCAAGAGTTATCTCCCTTCGACTCAGTTTCTCTTTGCAGTTAATTTGGACACAATTAAAACCATAAATTGTACAGTCTAGACTTTCTACTTAAAAAAGAAACAGTTATTTCAACATTTCTCAATCCTTTAACAAAACAAGCTTGAAGATTGAAGAGCTTTAATCTCTGGATGATAAAGTCACCCATAAATAATATACGTAGAGAAACAAATAAAGGAACACAGGAAAATTCAAGCGTTCCTTTATTATTTTCCAGTTTTCATCACCACAGCACTATTCAAAGCTGGTGAAGAAAACTAGAAAATAATAAAGGAAATCTTGAATTTTCCTGTGTTCCTTAATTTGTTTCTCTACGTATATATAATGACCATACTTGAAAATCCACGACAACAACCACGATTTTCTCCAAATAATCACAAAAACATATAGTTCTTTAATTTGTTACATTTCAATAAAACCCCAAAACATGGAGTCAGAACACATTACAAAACTCACTTGAACTTAAGGGTGTTTACATTCCACTGCCAGAAACAAACACAGCCATCAGCACCTGTTGTGGCAAGGTAGCGCGTGTCACCCTTGGCTTGGGGACAGAACTGAAATACGATTTGTTGAAGGTGTTTACTATTTCCTGTGTTGTGAATATTAACCATGCACAAGACACTCAACATACCTAATTACTCATTAAATGATTTCTTTTAAATATGTTTAAATGTATTTGCATTTGTTCTAAGAGGAACCTGGGTATGAAAGATATATTACTGTATGAAAAGCAACTTGTTAAAACATGGCTTTAAATGAATGCCAACCACCAGTAAATATTTGGCAATAATCTCTTGAATCTATCGCCATAGTTACCTGCACAGATGTGATCATGCCAGTGTGGCCTTGTAGAACAATGACTGGCGCCTTAGTTCGTAGACACCACACACGAATAATCTTGTCACAACTGCCACACGCAAGTAATGTGTTCTCAAAGTTGACAGCAAGGTCGGTGATCTCTGCTGCGTGACCTCGAAACGTGGCAAGTAGACGTCCAGCAGAGGCACTCCAGATTTTCACCAAGTGGTCATCGGCACCCTGCAGCCAACAAACACTCCCAGCATCACATCTGTGACATTAGCCCTGACACGCACACTCTAAGCAACATCTATAATGAGCCCAAGTTCAATCTCCAGTGATGTCACAGGTACATGGTTACCATAAGTAACACCGGTAGGTGAAAGAGGACTTACCAATTTGTTTCTTATACGGTGACGAAGATCTTTCAGTATTACTCTGCAGCATGATATCATGAGAGATATCAAATTCGTTTTGGGTACTGGTAATCATAATTTCAGTAAGCACCTACTTCTAAAGTCCACCTTCTTGTTTTATTCCTCTCTTGGCAATGATCAGGGAAAATTTCTTAGAGTTTATTAGAAATGACAAGTAAATTTTATCAGCGTGTCTTCCTGTGACAATTTAATACTGTGACAATGAAGTTCCAACTTAACACTCTTCCAGTTGACCTATGAGATGATAGTGTTATTCCACATACTGTGAAGATGTATTGGCCTGTCCTGTCAAAGGACACACAATACACTGCTGAGAGGTGTCCCAGTTTCCGGTCATGAAGAGACACATGGCTATATTGGTGGCCCGGGAAAATCAAATCCCGCCGACTGCGGCCAGTCAACTCTCTGCCTTTCACCATGGAACCTGCAAGAACACATTAATATGACCACTCACTGATGAAAAAAGTGCAAGGCCATGCTGTGTAACCATTATATAAGCAAGACATGATAAATAGGGACCTAGGAAAATTAAAAGACCCCTAAGACAACACCCCTCACCACCACTACCACTCCAAAAACTCCGCGATCACTTAACACATACAACTACATCTTGTAAAACAGCTTTTAATGACTTGGTCACTATTCAGCAGATCAAATGTGAACCACTTGTTTCACTTTATACAGCTGCAAAAGCTTGGGTTCATTCCTATGATCATTAGAAATCGTTTTTAATCATTTTGTCTCATTTAGACGTCTGTTGGAAGCTCACATCTGTACTTACAAAGTGAGAAATGTGCAATGTTCCGTGGAGGCTGCAATGGTTCTGCATGATGCAGAACAGCAAGCTGAGATGATGCCCATTTTGTCTGTCTAGAATCTGGTAGTGTAAGCAATGCAATAATCAATAAGAAATAAACATTCAAACATTTTATGATTTTCTAAGCACTAATAACTAATAACTGTATTCTATTATTGTAAATACTAGTGGTGTTCCGATTAATTGAAATAATCGAAAATTGGTTGCAGTGGCCAAACGACCAAGCAATCGATCACATTTTCTCATAATCGAATACAAACAATTTTGAAACCGCTGTAATAGAGTTTGACATACTTGATGATAGAACATATCTAGGACGTTGTCTGGGCCTGAAAACGTGTTTATTTCTAACAAAACTCACTTCACTTTCTGAAAAGTCATGACTAAATTTTTCTTGAAGAATCTGGAAAGTTTATGTTACACTGGAACTGAATCATTTTACACTGGATGTGAAATTTGCAAATGTAATTTGTGCAGTTTCAAAAAACAACATCAGAGAACCAAATGCTTTTTCTTTATACTTATCTGCAACTACAACCTGAATAGGAAAATCTAAAAAATGACGCGAAACCAATTTTTTTGTGATGATTGGTCGTTGGTATTGAACCAATCATCAATTGTGAGATTTCAACCAATTCCCAACACTAGTAAGTACTTTTTGCTACAGTGTGAAATTAGGGATCCATCAAAGATTCAAAACTAAGTTCAGGTGGCTGCCAAATTCAGAACAAATGTTCAAAAACCATTTTAATTCTAAGAAATCAGGATATTTTTCAATACAAACAGACAATTTCTACTGTAATTTGCAGCTGACATGAGGCCCAATATTGGTGTTGAGCATTTCTACATACTGAGTATAGAAAAAAACAATAACAAATAATCACATATTCAAACATATGGTTCAGATTACAACAGATAACTAAAACTTCCTGAGAATCCTACCTCAAGTACCTACATGACTGCTAATGGTATGTATCTCAATGAATTAAGCTGACACCACACTTTGTTCATGAAGATATTTTAAATAACATGCATCAGTTTGTTGCACCAAAATGTAAGGAAGCGTGATATTTTAGACAGCATATACACCTGATACACTATCAGACAAACTCTGTCTTAAATACCAAAACATCTATTCAAATATATTCATGACCCCTAACTTTTGTACTTTCAGTGACAACAATCATCTTGTTTTGTTTGAGACAATGAGACTCACTTTCTACAGTTCGAAGAAGTGAGAGACTTCCTGCACCAAGTAGGGAGCGGACTCCTGTGATACTTGGTGGAACTTCTTTATCCAACAATGGCCCAAGCCTCTCACATATACTGAGCAGGTGGCCACATGATATGTGACGAAATAAATCAATCTGAAAAATTATGTCAATTGTTTTTATTTGACTTTCATTCTCATGTATAGCATGATAGACCTTTAGTTGTCAGTACAAAACATGTAGTTCGTGTTCATTTATAAATGCATTTTACAGAAATCCACTATTCATTTCAGAATGGACATGTCACCAAATTTGGGATTAAAGGTTCTTGTTGAACTATTGCACCTATTAACAATGTACATAGTGACATCTGGGCCCGATAAACCAGGGGTATTCTATAAATAATGTGACTGGTATTAACACATAAATAATCATTTATCAACTCAGATCAGAGGTAATAAAACATCCAACCATCCTGTTCTGTTAAATCAATCATTTATCATTACTCCTTTCTTTCCATAATATGAAATAATTCTTGTTACAAATGTCTTTTTCACAACACAAAATAAACAGGCATGAAAAAAGCAATTCATTTCAAAGTATATCAAATAATTATGAATCTGCTAATTGACCAAAATAAAGCAATAGCAAAATAACAACAATGTTCATTGTAAAAAAAATCAATTTAAAACTGGATTATAGTAATTTGAAAAATGAAACTTTGAAGAAAATGCTGACTGAATCATTACCAATAAATAAAATATTACTAAGCAACATTTAAATCTTATATAGTTATTCTTCATAAATCAATAAAGCATATATTATTAATTTGTAAGTACGATTTTCTTGAACTGGTGATTACCCATGTGATACAACCTAACAGGGGTCTATTTTTAGAATATGACCTAGTTCACCATTGATCCAACCAATGAGAGCGCGCAAGAACAGTAATGGCCTTGATATTTGCATAATAGACCCAGCTTTGAAAAGCGAGTGATCCCATTGGTTGGCTTTGTGCCAGGTCCCTGACATCATTCTCCATGGCTAAGGACATTTGATATTATAAGTGCATAGCAAATTCTGAGTTTTCTTTTACAAAATACAATAAAACTACGAATTGTCACGCAGATGTGTTTGCAATATCTTATAGTTCGTACAAAATGCTACCCAAATATGTCAAGATCTCAAATTAGTCATGTTAAGGTTCATTTTAATAATTTGCTAAAAGTTTGGTCTATTTCAACCCAATAGCAAGTTTTTCCGTGACTTACCAAGTTGGAATAACTTCTGTAGTGTTCTCTGGCTTCCCAGTCGATTCTTTTAGGTAAAAGCTGCAAAATTGAAATTTGGATTTTTTTTCATGGGGCAGGCATTCTTACAAGAAACGATTCCCCATTCATCAAATTCATCATCTGGCACCCTGAATTTGATGAAATTAATCTACAAAATCACAAATATCGGACGAAAAGCGCGAAACTCGAAAGAGAAGTTCTTCACATGGACTGTCGATTACTAACCTTGTGTTCTTTCAGCTCCCCAAGCAGCACCTGCAAATACAAAGACGTCAGATAATTACCTGATGTCACAAGAGTCATATCTGATCAAAATTAAGAATTTTACTTACTTCTGATGCCTTCTTACATGGCCCCGAAGACAGGAATCGAGCGATGAGGAAATACAATTCTGAAAAGGTATGGAAAATTTGTCAATGGTTGGTCGACCCGCTTGGAGTTTTCAGCGCTCAAATAGCAGTGAAAAAACTTCTACCTGACTCTATCGTCGAGACAGAAGCGACTGTTGATTCTGGTGTAGGCATTTTAGCCTTTTCACATTCTCACTGAACTCAATTTTCAAGAATTCAAGACGTAATTAGCGATTAGCCTCAGTCGCCATTTTGAGCTATTTTTGTCCATACGTGTGTAAGGCATTTGTCAGGCGGACTATTTTGGCGTAGTCATTCCAGATTCACGAGTTGGCAGCATTGATCAAGATCGCGTTACGGCCACTTATAAGGAAATATTGTGAGTACATAATACTTATCAAGATGAATTACATGAGCAGTTAACAAGCAACATATACAATTTATCAAATTCATGCAAACCTACTTTCTTTCGCGGAGGCAGACCTCTTGCTCAAGCAAGTGCGCTGACGTCACAAGCCGGGGTTGCCCTCAGTCGAGTGTGAAACGTGAACTGGGAGTGATCATTCTGGGAGGGACACGTTGTTGACAATTTTTAGGGTGAGAACGTAAGTCTTCTAACACAACTTGTGCTTTTGTAATTATCATAATATTACCCGGAGCAGACTGTCATTTCGTATTTATCGCTTATTTTGTGGCGTTGCATCATACTGATGACCTGCGACAGGAGGTTTCTGAATCTGGCTACATGTGACACATTACATGTCATATGAGGATGTTGTATTCCGATATCCGCGAAATACAACCCAACTTCGTTTCCTTATGCAGGCGACAAATCTCAGTTCTAACATTCATAATAAACAGCTAAAAATCGACCGGCTTAGTTAATTCAACGAAAGACCTCTCAAAGACCTGTAAATGTAGGTCAGTGTTAACAGCTGATTCCATACTTAAACTTAATTAGATCAATAGTCTCTGACTCTGGTTTATTTTTTTTATAGAGAAATCCCCAATAACAGCAGTACCCCCAATCAGCTTCAATAACAAAGTTCCATTAGCTCCTTTTATGTCAGAGACAATGATGTCCTTTGGCAAAAATATGAAGCTATATTGCTTAAGTATATATCACTCATTCTCAATAAATGGTGCATTTGACCATATCAAAAGTCGAAAAAAGATTATTTTTGGTTGATGTTTTTGGGGTTTTTTTCCTGGTATCCTTAACCATACGTATTTGACAGGCCTTGTTCAAACAGGGACACAGTAGAAACATGCAAACTTTGGGGATCCGTCAGACTTCTTTTCATACCTCATTCTCATGACTATCTCAAAACAGTAGTATCATTGCAAAATACTACGGTCTGTTTACCAGGTTATCAGTAATGAAAATTACATACTGATTGTTGTTTAAGGTGTGTATACCAGTTGCGGCGACAGTAACGTAAGTTTCAAAATTAACAATCAATTGGATATATTTCATTTATTCCCGACATGTGGCAGGCACATGCTGTTTAAATCTTTAGTAGGGGTGGTGACATGTTGCAAAATGCAAAAGAATCAACTAAAAAGGAAAGCCAGGAAAACAGAGCATGGCGACACAAATGCGCCCTTTTATTGAGAATGGGTGATATATATATTATTTAATAATTTGTTCATACAGTTTATCTGTACTCAACTGTTTGCAGACTGTCATGTTGCAGTACCTGAAAAGAAATGTTATTGTTTGTTTCAGATGGATACTTTTAAAAAGTTATTAATAAGATTTGTAGGCGAAGAGTGCAAACTTGCTAAATTTATTCTTTTGATATCCAGGGTGTGGAAACTGATAAAGTTCATTTGTATAATCACCCGGAATGGTACATACATGTTTGATTAGTATTTTCTACTGTTGATAAACATAAAGGAAGGTGTGTATGGTCACTCATTAGTATTTTCTACTGTTGATAAACATAAAGGCAGGTGTGTATGGTCACTGATAAGCAGTGTGTAATGGTTGTTTCATTCAAGGAGGAAATTGTTACTTTTGTGAATATGTGTATGTAGATTTGTGTTTTAGCATTACAATATGCTTCGGTAAAGGGTGTGAGTGGTATTCTTCATGTAACTCTCCTTTATCATTAAAAACTACATGTACAAAATGCCTTTGCTTCTGTCAGTCCATCTGACGCTGGGAATGGTCCTCAATATATTTTGTTGGTTTTATATGTTGCAAATGTTATTATGCTGATTGTTATAAATATATGTGTGCTCTGCTCATAATGTGTTAGATAATGCAATCAGTTTGTTTGTAGTGCAATCTGTACTTATTCAATATGCTGGTTGAATATCACCACCATACTTAGCCAACATTCTATATCTTTATAAAACCCATAAATGATGCTGATAGAAATATTTTATATTACTTATAGAAAAGCACAGTTACTTAGCCTCAGTTCACATGGTTTATTTAGGCATTTCATGAATAGAAAGATCATTTTGCATAAAGTGAGGACTTTGTTGTCATGTTTATGTATACTTTAATATGTGTGGATAGCAAACACTTACATGTTTGTACCATGTTAAACAGATGTCGTGGTTCCCTGAGCGGAGGAACCGGTCATGGTTGCAGAGAGTGTGTGCATCTGTGTTAAAGGCAGGTCCAGTACCCAAACACATCGGTATTATTATGGATGGTAACCGGCGTTTTGCTGTCAAGAACAGCATGGAGAAGGCTGAGGGACATTTGAAGGGATTTGACAAACTTGCTGAGGTAGGATGCTTGAAATGATTACCGGAAGTTTCAAACAGATTTTCCTGAAACGTACAACCATACAAAAAACTTACTCAATTATTTTTTAACAAAGTGGTTAATGGTGCAGACTTGATTGCCACTGTCTGAACGCGTCATGACTGTTTCTTGCAGACGCTGGATTGGTGTTTAGACCTGGGCATCTGTGAAGTGACAGTGTATGCCTTCAGCATTGAGAACTTCAAACGGTCCAAGGAGGAGGTGGACTGTCTCATGGAGCTGGCCAGGAAAAGTTTGCCCGACTGCTCGAGGAGAAGTAAGTAGGTGGAATGTATTCACAAACAAAATTATGGGGCTAAATCCTAACACAATATATAGCAAGTTCATTGTTCTCTTTAATCATATAATACAGAACTGATGCATGCCTCTTGATTGTACAATGCTGTTTGTTCACTACAGTCCTCAGCTTGCAAGGGACAGGACATCAACAGTCTCAAATAGTGTGGTGGTAACTTGTGGCTGTAGTAAAAGGGAGATAAAATCTGTTTACATTGTTGTCATTGTGCAAGGAAATACAGGGCTCGATGCAGCTGGTATTTCCTAGGGGATGACAGCAAGAGTGCAGGACCTTAGGACGATCTACTGCTAACCTCCTTCTGTGAACCACCTTGAAAGAACTCCTCATTCCAGAATTTCATTATTTTTTTGTTTAAAAGAAATTGATGGCAAATGAAATGAGAACTTGGAACCTGTGCTGTGACTTCAGTTCGTAAGAGGTGTGTTTCAGTGGTCAGATGACTTAAGATAACTAACTTAACGCTTAGATGCAACCAACAAAATAATTATAATTAAAACACAATTATCATTTCTTCGTGACATGTAATATACATTGCTGATTATGAAAAAAACAAATAAACAAAATTATAAGCGTACAATCGCATATATCAAAAGTGCAATATTTTGTACTTGGGTTTGCTTCCCCTTAGATCAACAGGCAGGATGATGACGTTGACTCTATTACCATACGGCTGAATAAAAACGAAGCAATGATTAAAACATTCAAGAATCCACAGTCAGAATGAAAACTGATGGTTTTGTCAGTGCTTATAACTCAACAATAAAAGATCAACAACATGTGCGATCTCTACAGCTTACAGCCTGCACGAACCTTACACCTGTAGTAGGTTCAGTTTCGGACGACAACCTACTTGATGAGGGGAATCCCTTCATCTACACGGATGCGGAGGTCTTATCCTGGGTAGCAGATGACCTGCTGATATTGTCGTTCACTCACTCACTCCATCCTGGGTAGCAGATGACCTGCTGATATTGTCGTTCACTCACTCACTCCAACCCAACAGAGACGTACTGCATATATGCTGATGACTTCAACTCCAATATGATATGACATATAAAGCCGATATCTCAAGTACTGGAGAACCTCAAGGACTTAAAGGTCACATAAACCCTAGGGGGTACAAATACATAAATCACTAACTGGCATCGTTATAAATGAAACCCCGTCATTAAAACTACTCATTTCGACCTTTAATTGACTTAAATCGACCTTTTTGACAACAGTGCACAATTCTCACCCGCGAACGAAATTTCAACCAATCAGAGCGGCACGCCTCTGTGACGTCATATGAGGAATAGCTTTGAGAGCCGATGCAGAATTCATCTACATTTTAGGGGGTAAATTATCGTGTTTACAGGCTTGTATAAACCTGAAATCGTGACAATTGTTGTGGAAAATGAAAGCTATATGTTCTCACAATCTACTGTCATTTAATTTTGTCTCTTGCTTTGCCTAGTTTCCAAGTTACAACTTGTTTTCATAGACGATTCTGTCAAAATCGATTGGTGTCGTTAGGCCCTATTTGTATAATGACTGATCCAAATTCATCCCATTTCTGTGTTGTTTTACCTCGATATTTAATCATGTCATGTAAAAATCTGTTTGTATTCTCAAAACAGTGTCGGCCCATAAGTTTTCACATGCAATACAGCAATTAATACTCCCTCGTTGTAACCCGTGTTAGGTGGTATAAACCTACACGTTATTTGTCATCATTCACTTGATGGTCAGTTAATGAATTTACAACAGGTATAATTAGTGGTAACACACTTAGATTACCCGACAAAGGTTCCCATTTGGCATTTCTTTAGCGTCTGGAGTAAATATTCAACATTATAAACATCGATCAACGGATTAACCGATAACACGCTGATTGATTAATTACTTTTATCTTACACAGCGGAATTGTCAAAAGTAGTGTTTATGTATGTAGATTTACTAATCTATACTGAATACACTCTGTCGTGTCGGTGTCTCGCGTAAAAACAACGTCGCTTCTTTCAAAGGATTAACCGGCAATACATTGATTGCCCATTATTAATAACTAAATTACTGTTTTTTAAAGAAAGGCGGACATTATGCAATTAGTTGCCAGGTGTGCTATCTTGGGTGACCAATGAGACTATACACCAATACCTGAAAAGATTTATCACTTTTTCAGTATATTAAACTGTTAAAAGACACATCATTTGGAACAGTTTGTGGATATTGATGGATACATTCCTCGAACAAGGTAATGGCCTGATATTGTTCCTATAACTTTAATCTGTTTTAATTTTAATATTTGCGTTTTGTTTTATTCATTTGTCGTAGCATTCAACAGAATCATTGTTTTCGCTGTGAAGTGTAATGAGACAGACAACATGCACTAGGGTGTGTGCTGCGAATTATGATTCACATTGGCAAACTATAAAATGTCTAGATATTACAGTTCTGTTATAAATTCACTATAAGTATCAGCAGATCGCCTGCTTTTATTTAGTTTCAAAATTCATACAAGTGTGATAATAAACTAATTAGGATTATAAGACCAAATATAAAGACGCTATTACATTGACTAGTATCTACATACTGGTGAGTGGACATTAACCATGGGAATGTAGCAAGAAATTTATCGCGCAGTATTGTGACTTCGACCCCACCTCGGCTTCCGTGGAAGAAATGCGTTATGTTATAAGTTGTGTCATGCAAAATCCGTTTGGTTATGATTCCAATACATATTTAACAACGGTAGAAAGTAGTCTTGATTTTCTAACTTGATGAAAACAAACTATAATCTCATTAATTCTAACAGATTTTTATTTTTTAAAAATGGCGCCCTGTTGGGAACATCCGCCAGTCTGAGGATAAATGGTATTTAGGTTTGTTTTCACCGAGTAAAAAATCAAAACTACTTTCTACTGGTAATAAAATATGTATTTTATTGATAACCAATAGGATTTTGCATGACATAAATATATCATAACAATTTCTCGTGGCAGCGAGGTGGAGTCAATATAATACTACTTACAATATTATTGTTACTTCCGACCACAACCTCACTTCGAGGAAGAAATCGTTATGTTACAAGTTGTGTCATAGAAAATCTTTATGGTCATCAATCATATGCATATTTTACTACAACTAGTAAGTAGTTTTGATTCTTTAACTTCCGTGAAAGCGATCTGAACACAACTAAGATATCATTTCAGGCTTCCACAACGCCGCCGCGCTCACAAACATAACCCATTTAGCACGAACTCGCGGGTCCTGTGGAAATCTGTGCATGGGGACACCATCGCCCGACCCTAGGAACAATTGGCGACAAAGCAACGATTGATTCGGCATGTAGTCGTTGATGTCGAGAAATCATCAAAATGATGAGCGTGCTACACATTTTCTATACAACTAACTGAAAATCGTTCCTCACTGCAGCGCTCTGGCGACAGAGTTACGTAACCTGTCTGTGGTTTCGTTGGCGGGCGAGAGGGAAGCAGGCGACTTTTTGGCCACTTTTAATCGCTCGGTATTAATTAACCACAAGTTTTTAAAGAATAAATTTGGTGTTCCGCATAAGACTAACCACAAATCTTTCATATGTAATGGTTAAAAGAGTAACAAAAAACAAAGTTTAGTGGTTCTTTAAGGTTAACGCCTTCAAGAATCCTTGGACGGACGTACAGTTGGTATTATTAACACTCGTCACTCAGCGTGGGGATTAGGAATCCATATCCTATCAACTTGATTCAACATCTGTATTCTTTAAGATCCATACAGACATACGTCTCGACAGCCTTCTTTGTCATGCTGGCTTATATTATCCACATTGGGAATACGTGATTAATATCACTGAACAATAATTTACACTTGGAGCAACCCTTATTCAAGAAGTTTATATGAGTGGCGTAGAATTACACGCGCTTTTACTCAACCAACCATTGCACCGGATTTTATGGAGGCTAACTTGCTACAACACCAGTGACGTCATGCTTGAAGCTGATTGGTCCAGGACAGACAACGCCCCTTACTGACAGAACAGGCGCCAGCAAGTTTACTGACTTGTAAACAAACCCGTTGTACAGGGGAATACTTCATCAGCAGCCTTGAAAACAGCATACAACTACGGCCCGTTATCATCATGGGAATCTAATAGATGTCTAGCCTTGACAGCAGGATAAAAGATGTTTATCTTGGAATTTTTCGCTGATAAAAGCCGGTATGTGTACCTGTCTCCTTCAATACTACACTGGAACCAGTCTTGCTACAAATAGGCAACGCTTCGATGTATGCTGATCAACACAGATCGTCTGCGTATATAAGGGGAAGAATGATGTATCATCACTGCAAATTGCCATTCTAGACAAGGATATTGTCATCACTGATGCCTATCTCCGAGGATGAGAAGCGCACAAGAAGAAAGAAATGGCGGTGATACCCATTTTGCTGTCGTCTCTGTGAGTCGCAGCGAAGTCAAGATAGAGTTACGTCCCTTGTTTGCCTGTTGCAGAAATGAAGGGTATTTTCCCTTTGGAATTTCCTCGGCCCCAGGACTATTTACATGCGTAACGAAGCCCACTGATGCATCAGTGGAGACTTTGCAGTGCATTCTGACTAGACAATGCAATCTAGACGCATCAACAAGCAGATCAACTCAGCTGAACTTTACAATCAAGTTGCTCACTGGGAAGGCTAGTGAACCTGATGAAGTCCGAGTTGGAACCAAAACAAGATCTGCAATTCCTGGGGATAAGATTCATCACAACACAGAATCAAATTGTGACCCCAGAAGATTATTGGGTCAAGACACAAGCCATGATTCTTCAATCAGTCATATCTCCGTTAACACTACGAACATGGCAATGTCTACTCGGTCTACTAACCTCAGCACAAGACTTGACTCGCACAGGAAGGTTTACAACTACCGCCATTGCAACGATTCCTGGCAAAACATCTGGACAGCAGCGACCCTATCTCGCTAC